GACAGGTTCAGAGCCAATCGGTGGTCTTTTTCTTTGAGAGCTGATCAGATTGTCCTAGTCATCTCTATGTTTTGTTGTGTACTGCTCCGTGGTATTCTGGACAGTGTGGGAGACTAAAAGCTCTCAGGAGGATGCTCATTTTCCTTCTCCGTTGCTTTGTGAAGCAAACCACATAGCGCACATCTAACTGATCTTGGTGTTTTGGCTCATGTCCTACAGTGGTGCACCTTTGTGCAGTTTTCAACTCATTTTCATGGAGCTGTGTCCACTGAGACCTTGTCCCCTCAGAGGTCACCTGGAAGTCAATTGCTTGGTTTCGTGGGGGCTCAGTTCAGCAGTCTTTCTTCCTCTGGGGCGTGGCCTGTGTAGGTGCAGTCAGAGGGATCTCACATCTTGTGCTGATTCATCTGCAGACTATTTGTCCCCTGCAGCTCTCTGATGTGCACAGTTCTCCTGACCTATGCAAGTGCTGCTCTTCCATGTTCTTCTCAGTGGTGTTTACCCTCATGCCGTGGTCCAGATCCACCGACAAGAATACCTGTGAGGTGAGATTGTTTGAGAAAAGATCGCTGGAGACTTTCCTCCTCTTCCTTGGAGAATGCCATTGTTTCTAATTTGTTTGAGCAGAAATAGAGTAATTTTCAAGGTTTTCCCTTCGCTACTGCAGAGAGAAAGGACAGCTTTGTCAGTGAAGGGAGAGGAACAAACAAATGGGTATAACATTCCTATTCCCCATCAGTTTCAGGTTGACTGCAGCCCCGGTCAGGAAGACCCTCCCTTTATCTCCATGACAGGCTGGCCTGTCAGCCTGGTGGGTCCGTGGTTCTTTGGCCTCTGTGTTCTCCGTGCACAGCTGAGTTTGCCAGCCATGGAGAGAACCCCAGGGGAAGGCCAAATGTGTCCACCTTTCAGTCATGTCCATGTTCCCTATCGTGACTGGTTTGTAATCTCTGGAGTTAGTGATGACTGTGCTTAGTGGAGAATATAAATGATCAACCTGACACTCCTCAAGCAGCACAGAAGTTGATATTGAGCATGAGCCTGTCCCAGTGTCATTCCTTGCCCCTTTGAATGCATTGGGCTGATCCCTGCAGGCTCCCCTTCCCCATGGATGCATCTCAGTTTTTTCTCTCTGCAGTTAGCCCTGATGTGTCGCAGGAGAGTGTACAGTTCATATGTAGTCATCCAGGGGAAGGAGCTGTGACTGGACAGACATGGAGCAGCCCTTACTGTGTATAAATGATGGCTGGCAACAGGAAAGGAGTCAGCTGGTTGGGGGGATAACAGGAGCTTCAACTATGTTACTGTTGCATGTGAATTGTTTCCCATTTAAATAATGGATCAATTGAGCCAACAAAAACCTTATTCTTGCTAATCATTGATCAGCCATAGGATTGAGGTGAGCCATAAAAGAGAAATGATAGCTGGACATGTTCACCCTCATTTTAGACCTGGTACATCGTAATTGCTGAGTAAGCCTGCTGATTATCCAACTTTGTGGAACCATGATTCTAAAATCGTTTTGGTAAAGCAAGTGGTAATTCATTTCCTGAATTCCTTCAGAGTGGATATTAGTAACACTTTTCTTGGCCGGCGCCGCGGCTCAATAGGCTAATCCTCCACCTAGCGGCGCCGGCACACCGGGTTCTAGTCCCGGTCGGGGCGCCGGATTCTGTCCCGGTTGCCCCTCTTCCAGGCCAGCCCTCTGCTGTGGCCAGGGAGTGCAGTGGAGGATGGCACAGGTGCTTGGGCCCTGCACCCCATGGGAGACCAGGAAAAGCACCTGGCTCCTGGCTCCTGCCATCGGATCAGCACGGTGCGCCGGCCGCCGCGCGCTGGCCGCGGCGGCCATTGGAGGGTGAACCAACGGCAAAGGAAGACCTTTCTCTCTGTCTCTCTCTCTCACTGTCCACTCTGCCTGTCAAAAAAAAAAAAACACTTTTCTTACAGATGTTAATTATTTGAAAGGCAGAGATACAGAGAGAGAAGGAAAGAGACTTTCCATCCTCCAGTTCACCCCTGGATGGCTTGCAATGGCTGGGGTTTGGCCAGGCTGAAGCCCAGAGCCAGGAGCTTCATCCTGGTCTGCCATGTGGGTGCAGGGGCCCAAGTACCTGAGCTGTCTTCTGCTGCTTTTCCCAGGCCATTCACAGGAAACTGGATCAGAAGTGCAGCAGCCATGACTCAAACCATATGTGATGCAGACCCTACCATGTGGAGGCTTTACTTTTTATGCCAAAGTACTATCAGCTATTAATAACTTTTGTACAAGAAATACAAATAGAAATGAGCATGAAGAGAAAATAATCACTCAGTTTGGGCCATCTAGGAAGCCAGAAAATAGTTTGATTAGGACAATGTAACAAAGAGTTATTAAGTTACGATAGTAGAGTAACTCTCTTGTATAGAGAATTCCAATAGGTGTCCTAGGGCTCGGGAAGAGCACCTAAGGAAGTAAACATTTGTAGGGGTCCCACTCCCCAAGGATGGGCTTCAGAACTCACAGGTTGCAGTTGATCCCAGCAGACAGTGGGCAAGTGTTTGTATGACTGAGTGCAGATTTGGTGCACTCTCACTGGGCTGAAGACAGCCATCTGAGGTCTGTCTCCCTCTCTCCTCAACTCTGTCTCCCTGCACACACCTCATGTGTGTTTTCCTTTGGTTTTTCTAAAAGATGTATTTGTTTGTTTGAAAGAGTTACATGGAGGGAGGAGAGACAGAGAGAGGTGGAAAGAGGAGAGGGGGGGAGAGAGAGAGAAAGGGTGAGAGAGTGAGAGAAAGTTAGAGAGAGAAAGGTTGAGAGAGGGAGAGAGAAAGAGAGAGAGGGAGAGGGAGAGGGAGAGGGAGAGGGAGAGGGAGAGGGAGGGAGAGGGAGAGTCTTCCAGGCACTGGTTCACTCCCCAGTTGGCTGCCATGGCCAGAGCTACACCAATGCAAAGAAAGGACCATGAGCCAGGATCCTGGTGCTTTTTCTGGGTCTTCCACATTGTTGCAGAAGCTCAACAACTTGGGCCTTCTTCCACTGCTTTCTCAAGCTATAGCAGAGGGCTGGATCAGAATTGGAGCAGCCAGGACTTGAACCAGCATGCATATGGGATGCCGGTACTGCAGGCAGTGGCATTTTACCAGCTACGCCACAGCACCAGCCCATTCCTATGGGTTTTGATTCAGTCCTGTGTTTTGAGAAGTATTTTTTTAAGGAACACGAATGGATTTAAGTATTTCAAACTCTCTCTGAGGTTGATATTATTATTACGACCATGTATGTCACAGGTAATGGAAGATAAGTCTAAGGTGGCAAAGAGAAACCTCTGGTGACTGATCTTCAGGCTTGGACTGTGGGACTTTGGACAAGCGAGGGAAAGCCCCTGTGTGCTTTATTTCCTCACTTGTGCAGGATTGTGGACAAAAGAGACAATGTGTAGTTGTGGTGGTTCCTGGGTGTGGCTCAGACTGGGGCTGTCACGGTGTGCTAGAAATGTGGAGAGAGTGATAGAGAGGAGGCCAGGTGATGCTGGGAGGATGTGAAGGGATCAAGGATGACTTGGGGAGTCAACAGTACAGGGTTGAACTCTGGGAATTAGCAGAGTCCAGGGCTCGGTGGGGGAAGCTCTATGTCAGAGGAGGGGTGGCCCTGGCCTCTTTCTCCACCCCTAACTCATACTTGCCTGCATCTCCCAGCTCATCACCCAGCTTGGCCAGAGTGGGCACTAGGGAGAGCATGGCATGGGGTGGATTCAGTTCAGCCTCTCACAAGTGGGTGTGCTGGGTTCACCCTCTATCTCAGGTGGGGCCTGGGGCAAAGCCTGGTCACAAGGCCCGGCAAGCAGACTCCTTCAGAGTGACTTTGCTTTGGAGGTGACCTGGAGGTTCTCAGTAATGACTTCCATGGTGATAGGTTCAACTCAGACACCTGATCCTGTGAGTGGGGCCGACTCAGGCAGATATAGGGGGAGTTTGCAGGATGCAATAATCATGTGTGGATGAAGAGTATTTTCTTGTCTCTTGGTTCTTTGTGACCTGATTAGAAAATGTCATCACCTGTGTCCTCCTGGGGGAATGTTGTCCACATGTATGTGGATCAGCATCCACTGTGTCTGAGATATGTTTTATAATGTCTGTATAATACACTTGTGCAGTGCACTGTGATGTGTTCTGAGAGGTACATAGTGATCGAGCAGTGATCAAGTGATGCCAGTGATCCAGAGATACACCATGAGATACAGTCATATCTGGTGATATGTTAATATACAGTGACAGATAATAGTGACATACAGAGACAGGTAGAGTGGTATACAGTGTCAAAGCAATATTCAGTGACATATGGTGATGTACAGTGACAAATATAGGTGTATAGTGATATAGAGTGACAGATACAGTAATACATAGAGCAGATATGGTAATGCATAGTGGCAGATGTAGTGATGTGTAGTGATATAGTGATACATAAGGACAGATATGGTGATATACAGTGACAGTGATACACAGAGACAGAGTGATATACAGTGAAATCATATGTATGGTGAGAGATATGGTGATAAACAGATACGACCAATATAGCCCTATACTGACATATTGTGATAGTGATATATAGTAGTTGGTGGAGTATAGTGTGGAAGAGGTTGATACAGTAGTGTAGTGCCACAGTGATATTTTAGAGTGACATAGTAAAAGACACAGATATCGGTGTATCCATGGGTGACGTGTGAGTGTTGGTGTGTGGTGTGTCACGCACAACATTCCTTGTTGCTCTGTTCTTGCATGTTTTGGCACAGAGTTCTCTTACACCTGAGAGTGTCCATCAGGAATAAGGATTGGCTGTCTTTGGGGATGACTAATTCTCTAAGGTCTCAGGATTCATGAATATGCACACCACTTGCTGCATTGTGAAATCTCCTCAGGGCTGGTGTTTGGGACAGTAGTTGCACTGCCACTCAGGACACCCCACGTCCTGTATCAGAGTGCCTGGATTTGATTCCTGACTCTGCTTTTGATTCCAGCTTCCAGCTACTGTGACTGCTGGGAGGCTGCAGGTCATGGTGCAAACTACCAGGGTCCCTGACACCCTTGTGGAAGACCTGGATTCAGTTCCTGGGTCCTGGAACCACTCTGCCCCAGCTCTTCCTGAGGTGAGCTTTTAGGGAGTGAACCAGCTGAAGAGAAATCTCTCTCACTCTTGTCACTCTGCCTTTAAAACAAATAATTTAAATTTTGAATTTATTTTAGTTTCATTGTTGACATTTCTAAAGTATAGGCAAAAGGGAATCTCATATTTAAAAATAGTGCAAAGCTGGGGCTGGCTTTGTGGAAGCCACCACCTGCAATGCCAGCATCCCGTATGGGGGTTGGTTTATGCCCTCCCAGCTGCTCCACTACCAATCCAGCTCCCTGCTTATGGCCTGGGAAAAGCAGCGGAAGATGGCCCAAGTGCTTGGGCCTCTGCGACCCACATCGGGGACATGGATGAACTCCTGGATCCTGATTTTAACCTAGCACAGTCCTGGCCATTGTTGCCATCTAGGGAGTGAACCAGTGGGTTTAAGATAGATCTCTCTCTCCCCTCTCACTCCATACCCCTTAACTGTGGGAATTCTCTCTCACCCTGTCTCTGTCTGTCTCCTATCTCTCTCTCTGTCATCACCCTGGTTTAAAATAAATAACACAAATAGAAAACTTAACATCCATTCTTTATGTACATTTACAAAGCATAGGCAAAATGGACAATCATATTTAAAGTATGTGCATAGTGGCCATGGGGCCCTGTGGACTATGGAGGTGACACCCCTAGGGCAGAGCACTGAGAACTTTGGTGGGTGACACAGGGAACTTGCCCTGGACCTGTGATGTGGAGGTCACTGAAAATGTGTCAGCGTCCCAGGGGGTGGGAAGTTGAACAACCCTGGATGAGTCATTCAAGCCCGTTGTGTCTCAGAAGTTCCTTGCCTCTGGGTGCATCATGTGATGTCTCTGGGATGGGCTTGGAGGGGATGACCTTCTGTGGGACTGGAGCCTGGAAGCAGTGCATCTCCCTGCATTTCTTGTTCTCTTTCTTCCTAGAAACATTTACAACTGTGGAGTATGGAGCTCTTGGAATGAAAGAGAATGTGTTGATAGTGTTAGCCTAACCCCGTGGCGTGGGGCCTGTTGCATGGCTGAGTGACAGGGGGAAAGTCTCTGTGAGGCTGTGATGTGTGTGAGCTGCCCCCCGTTCTCACCATCATCCTTGGTGTTAGGATCAAGGTAACGTCACAGTTCCCCATATGCATTCCATTGTCTCAAGGAGTCAGCAAGTGTCTAGAAAAACACTTTTTTCCCCTACAATCCCGTGTCTTCAGTGGAGTATAAATCTCTTCCAGGAATAGGTGGTGTGGAGGGATCTGTCATGCATCTCAGTTTTTGCTGTGGTTTTTAGCAAATGCTGTATGATGTCTCTTTCCTTTCCATTTAAATGGCTCCTGTTAAAGTCAGTAATTAGAGAATTTTTTGTTGAAGTGTCCCATGAATTGTTTGCTAAAGGGTGAGGTACAATAAAATGGTGTGACTTTTGAGATGAAAGATTTCAGTGTCACTTGTTAGTTATTTAAGAAAGTTATAAGGTATTCAGCCATAACTCATGTCAACAGCTTCAGGTGGTCACTGACATCATTACATGAGAGTGCTAATTGTTAAATTAACAACAGGAAACACTGTACACTAACTCTCATGCAGGTCTGCTGTCCTCAATGAGTTGAATTATGCGAGTTAACTGTAAAACTACTTCTTCATAGTTTGTGTCTGTGTGTTTGTGTGTGTATGTTGAAATTGTTGAAATCTTTTACTTAGTAGAGTATTGGTCTTCTGTGTACAATGTTTTTTTTTTAATCTTATTTTTTCTTGTTTATTTTTTTAACTTTTATTTAATGAATATAAATTTCCAAAGTACAGCTTATGAATTACAGTGGCTCCCCCCCTTAACTTCCTTCCACCTGCAACCCACCCCTTTCCTGCTTCCTCTCCCCTTTCATTCACATCAAGATTCATTTTCAATACCCTTTATATACAGAAGTTCAGTTTAGTATATATATTATGTAAAGATTTCCACAGCTTGCACCCACATAGCACACAAAGTGAAAAATTCTGTTTCAGTACTAGTTATAGCATGAAATCACAATGTACAGCACATTAGGGACAGCAATCCTACATGAGGAGGTAAGTGCACAGTGACTTCTTTTGTTGACTTAACAAATTGACACACTTGTTTATGGCATCAGCAATCACCCTAGGCGCTTGTCATGAGTTGCCATAGCTATGGAATCCTTTTGAGTTCACTGACTCTTATCATATTTAGACAAGGCCATAGTCAAAGTGGAAGTTCTGTCCTCCCTTCAGTGAAAGGTACCTCCTTCTTTGATCGCCCATTCTTTCTACTGGGATCTCACTTGCAGAGATCTTTCATTTTGTTCCTTTTTTTTTGACAGAGTCTTGGCTTTCCATGCCTGAAATACTCTCCTGTGCTTTTCAGCTGGATCCAAATGCCCTAAGGGCTGATTCTGAGACCAGAGTGCTGTTTAGGACATCTGCCATTCTATGAGTCTGCTGTGTATGCCGCTTCCCATGTTGGATCATTCTCTCCCTTTTTTGTTCTATTGGTTAGTATTTTCAGACACTAGTCTTGTTTATGTGATCCCTTTGACTCTTAGTCCTATCATTATGATAAATTGTGAACAGAAATTGATCAAATGGACTAGTGGGATGGCATTGGTACATGTCTCCTTGATGGGATTGAATTGGAATCCCCTGGTATGTTTCTAACTCTACCATTTGGGGCAAGTCAACTTGAGCATGTCCCAAATTGTACATCTCTTCCTCTCTTATTCCCACTCTTATATTTAACAGGGATCACTTTTCAGTTAAGTTTCAACACTTAAGAATAACACTTAAGAATTAAACTAATAGTATAAAGTAGAACAGACAAAAATACTAAGAGGGATAACGTATTAAGTTGTTCATCAACAGTCAGGGCAAGGGCTGATCAGTCGCTGTTTCTCATAGTGTCCATTTCACTTCACCAGGTTTTCTTTTTGGTGCTCGGTTAGTTGTCACCGATCAGGGAGAACATAAGATATTTGTCTCTTTGGGACTGGCTTATTTCACTCAGCATAATGGTTTCCAGATTCCTCCATTTTGTTTCAAATATCCGGATTTCATTTTTTTTTTTACTGCTGTATAGTATTCTATAGAGTACATGTCCCATAATTTCTTTATCCAGCCTACTGTTTATTGGCATTTGGGTTGATTCCAGGTCTAGCTATTGTGAATTGAGCTGCAATATACATTAAGGTGCAGACCGCTTTTTTGTTTGTCAATTTAAACTCCTTTGGGTAAATTCCAAAGATTGGAATGGCTGGGTTGATTGGTAGGTTTATATTCAGGTTTCTGAGGAATCTCCAGACTGACTTCCATAGTGGCTTGACCAGTTTGGACTCCCACCAACAGTGGGTTAGTGTCCCTTTTTTCCCCACATCCTCACCAGCATCTGTTGTTGGTGGATTTCTGAATGCGAGTCATTCTCATATTCAGAGGGTGAGGTGAAACCTCATTGTTGTTTTGATTTGCATTTCTCTGATTGCTAGTGATCTTGAACATTTTTTCATGTGCCTGTTGGCCATTTGGATTTCCTCTTTTGAAAAGTGTCTATTGAGGTCCTTGGCCCATCTCTTAAGTGGGTTGCTTGTTTGTTGTTGTGGAGTTTCTTGATGTCTTTGTAGATTCTGGTTATTAACCCTTTATCTGTTGCATAGTTTGCAAATATTTTTTCCCATTCTGTCAGTTGTCTCTTCACTCTCCTGACTGTTTGTTTTGCAGTACAGAAACTTCTCAATTTGATGCAATTCCACGTGTTAGTTTTGGCTTTGACTGCCTGTGCCTCCTGGGTCTTTTCCAAGAGTCTTGGGTCTTTGCCTGTGCCTATATCTCACAGAGTTTCTCCAATGTTCTCTAATAATTTGATGGTGTCAGGTCATAGATTTAGGTCTTTAATCCATGTTGCGTGTATTTTTGTGTAACGTGAAAGGTAGGGGTCTTGTTTCATGCTTCTGCATGTGGAAATCCAGTTTTCCCAGCACCACTTATTGAATAGACTGTCCTTATCCAGGGATTGGCTTTGGATCCTTGATCAAATATAAGTTGGCTGTAGATGTTTGGATTGATTTCTGGTGTTTCAATTCTGTTCCATTGGTCTATCCATCTGTTTCTGTACCAGTACCATGCTGTTTGATTACAACTGCCCTGTAGTATGTCCTGAAATCTGGTATTGTGATGCCTCCGGCTTTGTTTTTGTTGTACAAGATTGCTTTAGCTATTCAAGGTCTCTTGTGCCTCCATATGAATTTCAGCATCATTTTTTCTAGATCTGCGAAGAATGTCTTTGGTATCTTGATTGGTATTGCATTGAATCTATAAATTGCTTTTGGGAGAATGGACATTTTGATGATGTTGATTCTTCTAATACATGGGCATGGAAGATTTTTCCATTTTTTGGTATCCTCTTCTATTTCTTTCTTTAAGATTTTGTAATTCTCATTCTAGAGATCTTTAACATCATTGGTGAAGTCCAAGGTATTTGATTGTTTTTGTAGCTATTGTGAATGGGATTGATCTTAGAAGTTCTTTCTCAGCCATGGCATTGCCTGTGTATACAAAGGCTTTGGATCTGTGCACATTGATTTTATACCCTGCTACTTTGCCAAACTCCTCTATGAGTTCCAATAGTCTCTTAGTAGAGTCTTTGGATCCCCTAAATAAAGAATCATATCATCTGCAAAGAGGAATAGTTTGACTTTTTCCCTCCCAATTTGTATCCCTTTAATTTCTTTTTCTTGCCTAATAGCTCTGGCTAAAACTACCAGTACTATATTTCATAACAGTGGTGAGAGTGGGCATCCCTATGTGGTACCAGATCTCAGTGGAAATGCTTCCAACTTTTCCCCATTCAATAGGATGCTGGCTGTGGGTTTTTCATAAATTGCCTTGCTTGTATTGAGGAATGTTCCTTCTATAACCAGTTTGCTTAGAGTTTCCATCATGAAGGGGTGTTGTATTTTATCGAATGCTTTCCCTGCATCTATTGAGATAATCATGTGGTTTTTCTTCTGCAGTCTGTTAATGTGGTGTATCACCTTGATTGATTTGCGAACATTGAACCATATTGAGGATTTTTGCGTCTATGTTCATCAGGGAGATTGGTCTGTAATTTTCTTTCAATACTGCATCTTTTCCTGGCTTAGGGATTAAGGTGATGCTTGCTTCATAGAAAGAAATTGGGAGGATTCCCTCTCTTGATTGTTCTGAATAGTTTGAGAAGAATTGGAGTTAGTTCTTCTTTAAATGACTGTTAGAATTTAGCAGTGAATCCATCTGGTCCTGGGCTTTTCTTTGTTGGGAAGGCC